GAATATTCATATTTGACCTGATTGTTTATAGGTCATAATGCGTGATCAAAACCGAAAGTTTCTGTGATGAATGCCCTTGTACTGTTCACCATGTAAGAATTTATTCACTATGTAAGAATTCGTTCACCATGTAAGAACTTGTTCGTTATGCTTCAGAAGATTGGAGGCTGACGAGAATTAGGCTTGAGATGGATTAATGATTGTACATTAAGCATTGACCCCCTATACTGAATTTTATTGTTGTTAACAACCATTTGATCAATAAATATGAGAGATGCCCTCTCAAAAAAAAAAAATATAGATCCTTTATCAATAAAAATTAACTTGATGATTTTGACAACTAACAGTTATATTTGGTATTTATAGCTTTCTTTTTCCTACAGAAAACCATAGGCAAAATTGCAACATGCTTGGAATTACGAAGTGCAGCTTTACAGGTAAATAGGTGTATTTTTTCCTCTCTTTAATATAAGGAAAAGAAATTATTATGAACTATTCTAATAAAACATTAGGCATTCATGCTGGAAGTATTATCGAAGAAGGGTTTTGTAACAATAAGAATTTGTGGGTCAAACCCATATTAAAATGTTTAGTTCAAATTTTATAAACCATAGAAATCAAAGATATAACTTCAATTTCTTTCTGTTATTTTTATTTTTAGCCTGAATGTACCAAAGATACAAAAACCAGTTTGGGACTTTTAATTTCCAATCTGAAAGCAAGAAATAGATTCATTTATTTTGGCTACTTTTTGAATATTTAGTTCTTGACATTTAAAACACATAGAGTATAGTGAAATCTTTGTAATAAAAAGATGTAATGTGCATATTTTAAATTTAGTCCACACAGTCCCAAGACGAATTTAAACTGGAGGACCTAAAGAAGCTAGAACCAAGTAAGTTTTATTTTATATTTTTTAGTGGTACTCCTTTAGAAAAATATTTACTCTATTATACATATTAAGATTATTTAGCATAGGTGCTGGTTTATTTTTGTTAATATCTAGTCCTATGTGATTTTTGGGGGGTTCTTTCATAATTACTGTAATATTTACAGTAATTAGTTGCTTCACCTTCACTATAGTATATGATGAATTATTTGATTCTAAGTAGTGCCTCATCTATCTGTTTTAGCCTTTATTTTGTTTTAATCACTTTAATAAGACTATAATAATGTTGGTAAGCGTTTATAGTGAAGTCTGCAGGAGAATATAAAGTTAGAGTCATTGATGCCCATTTATACTACATGTCATCAAAATCTCCAGTCTGGTTGTTTGAGCTGCTCTACAAAATATTCCCTGGCTCCCATTTGGTCTTCTTGAAAGCATTTTTTTAAGTAAACAGTTCCTTCAAAGGTTTTGGTGGTTAGGATGATGCCAAATAAAGCTTTTTTGCTGGTTCAAATCAATATTCTCTTAGAGGAAATATTTGCAATTTTAGGACATTTTCATCACCCCAAAAAGAAACCTGTATCTATTAGCATTCACCCTTTTCCCTGCAGCTCCCCAGTTCTCAGCCCCAGGCAACCACTAATTTACTTTCTGTCTCTATAAATTTGCCTGTTCTGGACTGGCTATATATTAGATTACTTTAGGAAAAGCACACATATGGCTCTAAAAAAGATTACAACTCCAGTTAGGATGTCTGGGTTATATAATGGTTCTAAAGAAAATTATGTTTAATTTTTTTAATGATAATGAATAATTTAAATTTTTGTTCCTCATTTAGTCACTATTTTCCACTAGTTTTTTTCCCTCAGTTTGTTTCCAAATAAAATTTTAGAATCCTACAAGTATGTAAGATGACTGTTAAGATGGTGAACCATTTATCCTCAGATACTTACTATCTCTTCCTACAAACATGCTTAATTATTTCTCCTCTTGCCTCATTGGCTCTTTCATTGTTAATAATGGTTTTTAAAGTGGCAGCTGTAAACCAAGCACTCAGATAAATTTACTCAGCTACAGTTTGTTAACTGACACTTGCCCATGACCTTGTAGCTTGTAAATGCCAAAACTGGGTTTTGACCAGGGTTCTGAGTGACCCTCAAAGCCTAATGTACACTACACTCTGTTATTAATACCTTAATGGTGTAGCTTCTGAGAGATTATTGACCCATATGTTAGATTGGACTGAAATCTCATTAGTCTTCTATTTCTTGTTTGTTTTTATTTTTTTAAATTTAGGGATGGGAATGGAAAGGAAAGATAATATTATTGGGGTTCATTTTGTTATATGTTGAATTTATATAGTTCTTTCATTCAGACTTCTTCCTTCTTAGTATTTATTGTCTTTTTAGAATATTTAAATTTGCTGTTACCTCTTAAAGGAACATAAATATGTGTGTTGTAACTCAGGGTATGCTTTGTAATTTTTAATTTATCACAGCTAGGCACTTGTTACAGTGTCAAGTTTTGCTGTCTGTCAAGTTAATTACTTTATCAGAATCAAACATTTTTTACAAATTGGTATTTGACTCTATTTTAGATTAAGCATTCTTAGGCTCTCCTCTGCCTTTTCTGACTATAAGGAAAGGAAAATTAATGAATGACTGTACCTTCCAATATGTGGGACTTTGTTGGTTTATTTTGCTAATAGATTTTTCCTTCAGGATATCTCTTGATAATCTTGTCTGAAATTCATGCTAAAACTAGCTAAGATCATGAAAGTACTAGTTGTTTTATTTTCTTGTATTAATCCTTAGTAATCTTCCACTTACTCAAACATATATCCCCCGCCTGCACTCTGTATAATTCCCTTCCATTAATTCATTAAGGCTCCAAAGAAATCCCTCTTTTCTCTGAATGCTTTCTGTGCTCTCTGAAGCTGTAATTAAACTCTACCTCCTGTCTTTTCTGCAAGCACTTTTTATATCCATTATCATTGTCTGTCCTGTATTCTCACTTACATTCATTCCTCTCCTCAAGGATATTGTGAATAACCTTTGTATTTTCTCCACAGAGCCTAATTTAGTGCTTTGCCCATAGTATGAACTTAGCAAATTTTTAAGTTGAATAGGTTGCATGTCCTCAGGGAATCTTCTCTCTTACTCTAAAATATAACCTTTCAAATGGAAGCACCCACTCATTTTGCGTACCACAAAAAAGAAAGAAGTCAGCCACAAAAGCAGAACATATTTTTGTATTTGCTGTCTGTCATTTCTTAGAGCGTAACCTTCAGGAGGGTGGCAGGTCATGCTCCATGAGAGCAGGCTGGAAGTGCTGAGGTTTTACTGGTGGAGGGCATGATCCCGTGTGAGCTGTGCAGTGGTTGTGTGTGTGTAAGTTCTGCTGGGTCAGTCAGTCCCCAAACCATGGTGGATTCATGGTATTACAGTAATACCGTCCGTGAAGTTACAAACTTGCTTCTCTTCTTCTCCAGGTCTTCTTAAAATACCAGTGGGTGGAAGAAAAACCTATGTAAAGTTTAAGTAAAACCCAATTTTAAAAGGACATTAGAATCTCTGTATTCCATAATTGGTGAAAATGAAAACTCATCCTACAATTACAGAAAATGAGAAAGGATCTGTTATTTTTCTTCCAAAATTATTCACACAAATTAAATATCTGATATGCTCTATATTTGTAAATACAAAATTATGAGAGGCTATTACACCAAAACAAACATTTCCTTTCCAAAGGATTGATACCTAAGGAAAAATACTGTTTAACTCTTCTATTATAGTACAAATGCAAGATATTCTTAATAATGATAGAGATTTCAATTTTTTATTAATGCTTTTTTATACATGTTTTAAGGGTTGGTTTTTTCCCCCTTTTTAAATTAAAATATGATCATGTCTGTGTTTTCATTTCTGATAGGGGCAATAGATCATCGGTCTTTATCACCTGCTCTTCTAAAGTATCTAGCACAATACTATGTAAATGATTGACTTATGAGTTGAATTAATAGTTTAGTCACAGTGAGCAATTATACATCAGATTTAGAAAGGATTTTCTTAAAATTTTAAAAATAGTGCTTCTTAGTGACACCTGAATACTAGGATTCTAGCCAGCTGGATAAGGGAAGCTATGGAGAGAATAAGTTACCACATAATAACATAGGCTTACGTTTATATGTTCTTTAGATTTTCCTGTGCAGTTTCATATATATTACTTAATTCCCTCAACAGTCTGTGAAGGAAGTGATATTTGCATTTTGGAACTGGGGAAACTGAGATTCAGAGTAATGTGAATGCTCAAGTCATTGACATCGTCGTAGGCTAAGATCTGACTGTAGGTCTTCTGCCATTTCCCTCTTGCTTATCAGACATCAACTGTACAGTCCATTTTATTCTTTGGACACGCCAAGCTAGTTCCTGCTCAGCACCTTTGTGGTTGCTCCAGCCCGTTCTCTAATACTCGGAAAGCCCTTCCGCAGAGCAACGCAAGGACAGCTCCTCTCATTCCAGCGCATGGCCACATGTCTCCAGCGGTTCCCTTTCGAAAGGCTCACCCTGTCCACCTTAGCTGAGCTTCTCCCTCTGCTCCTCTTCCACGGTCTTCCTGTTTGTGTCCTTTATAGCACCAATATAGTCTAGGTTAGCTTGTTAATTTGTTGGCTTGTTTATTGTCGCTTTTCCTGACTGGGATCTACGATCCATACAGGAGGGCAAGAACCTTCTATCTTGATCACTGTCATGTCTTGAACACCTAAAACAGTGACTGAAACATTATGGGCATTCAGAGCATTTGTTGAGAGGAAGGATGAGGGTAACAGCTGGACGCAGAGGGAATAAGAGTGAATGAGAATCTAGACACAAGTCTCAGACTTTTTTACTGAAGGACTTAGTAGGAATGTATGTATTAGAAGAAATCTGATAAGCAAATCTGACTTCTGTTGGAGTAAGTAAATCATGTAATTTTCCAACCTGCGCATTGGGATTTCCTCTTTGGGATGACAATGTGCCACATTCGTTTTAGCTCTAAACTGCAGGACTTCAAAATTAGGTTGATTTAATTAAGTACAAAATCATAGGAACTTTTAGGATTGCCCAATTCATACCATTACTTCATGTTTGTATAATTGCAGGTAGTTACTGGGAACCCATAACGCCAGATAGGAAGTATTAAATTACATACTTACAGTACCTCTATAAGGTATACATACTTACAGTACCTCTTCAAATGTAGGCAGAATTGTAGAACATCTCTCTTTAAATTTAAGCCAGAATGTAATCCTCAGCCACAACCATAATATAGGAGGTGGTGCATGTAATTCGAAGACTTCTCTTGAGGACAAATCCCTCTTTGTGTATGTATGTTTGTGTGTGTGTATGTATGTATATATGTACCTATACCTGTGTATGTAATAAACTATCACAAAAGCATATGAGAGTAGAATTATTACCAGTTTTACCAAACTTCCAGTTTTATAGAGTTGAGAGGGAATTTAATCAGAACACAGAGGTATGCTCATGTACCTCTAACCAGTTGTCTCTGATGCCAGTCTTTTAATTGCAGTACTCCAGGGCGGAGGTGTTCCCTTCCTCTGGTGCCCTGTGTCTCACCTTGGGCTTTGTACATAGAATAACTGTTTTGGATTCATTTTCCATGAGGACTCTGAGACTCTGCAACTTACTGTCCTTCAGATCTGACAGCACTCTGAAATTACTGGTAGCATACTATGGATGTTTTCATTTTGCTAGAACCTACAATGGACAAATGTGTTGTAGCTTTGAGTGACAGTAAGATTGGGAATTTGTTTAAAAAGTATTTATGTGCATAGTAAAATTGATTAAAATCAGTCATTTACAATAAAAAATTTTGATTTATGGAAGAATTCATGTTTCTTTCTCTTTCTTTTTTGTTCTAGTCTTAAAGAATATTCTTACATATAATAAAGAATTCCCATTTGATGTTCAGCCTGTCCCCTTAAGGTAAAAAAAAAAATCACCAATATTTGTCTTCTTATTTTATACCTATTTTTAGATGTCTGGATTTTTTATATCAAATTGGTATCATTGATATCAATATAACATTTTATGTCATTTTTTTAATGAACATCTTACCCAGGAAATGAGTGGCTACGAGGCTTTATTTAGTATATTTAGTTTTATAGCTCACAATATTTTCTGTTCTTTTGCATGTAGAAGAATTTTAGCACCTGGTGAAGAAGAGAATTTGGAATTTGAGGAAGATGAAGAAGAAGGTGGTGCTGGAGCAGGGTCTCCTGATTCCTTTCCTGCTAGAGTTCCTGGTGGGTATCCCTTGTTTAACAATATATTACTTAAATTAGTCCAGGGCCAGATGTTTGGAATTTATTTTGGTTCTTGTCGGTGGGGAGTAAAACCTCCCCAGAACCCATGTCAATCTTGAGCAAATTTTTATGTCCATGTTACTGGCCGTACCTATTTTGTAAGTGTAGGTCGAAAATACCTTACTATCTGTGTTGGGGGTCCGCACGACCACCAGCAAGTTCTGTTAATCACTCCCAGGACTCAGCATATAGTTGTACTCCTGGCTCTGATTTATTTCAGTGAGAGAATACATGACCACATCAACAAAGGGAAAAGGGTGGAGCCTGGAGGAAACCAGGTGACAGTCACCAAGAGCCCTCTCCCAGTGGAGTCTCACAGGACACGCTTAATGCCCCCAGCAATGAATCATAGCGACACGTGTGAAATGTCTCCTAGGGAAGCACCTTAGAGACTCTGTGACCAGAGCTGGTACTGAGGGCTGATCACAGAGGCACCCTCTGCCCAGCGCTGACCTAAATCTCACACTCCCAGAAGAAAGCTGAAAGTCATCAACCATATTGTTTGCACAAACCACTTAGAGTGACTATTCTTAGCAGAGGATGGTGGGAACCTTCCCCAAATCCAAGTTTTCAGACACTAGGTAAGAGCTGACCTTGTGAGCAGACCTTTCTGCCTTTCTAAGAATCAGGCCTGCTCCACTGACCCTTCTTTGTACACTATCATAAGTACCTCTTTAATTAATCACATCCAGGTCATTAAAACTGGACTTGGTAATGGATACTCAGCAAATGCTCTTTTTTCCCACATCTTGTTTTAGGAAAGCACATAATGTCTGGTAACCTTTTTTATTTATAGAAGATCTTGTTGAGGATCCCCCCACCTCTGTAAATAACATAGGCAGACACCCTGGATAAACTTTTTGTCTCTCCCAATTATCATTTTTACCCTGTTGGTTTTTAAACTGTCTAGTTTTAATTTCTGATAAACTAGTTCAATTTAGGAAGTATAGCAGTAAGCTGTGATATTATGATGCATTTTAAAGTAGATTCTAGAAGCTTTATAGTACAGTTAAATACAGTTTGTGTCATCCAGAATAGTTTCTGGTCATGAAAGTATAGTAATATCCCAGTATTTTTAATCATCCTTGGAGAGGAGCAGCAATGACATAAGGCTTGAACCAACAGATACTCGGTGTGAGTCTAGGCTCTGACTGTTAGTAGTTGAGTGACTTTGCACCTATTTCTTAAACCAGCCTGACGTAAGGTTACTGTGAAACTTAAGTGAGGGGCTGGATGTAGAGCTTTGAGTACAGTGCCGATCACATGCTGACTGTTAATGGTGGCTGCTCTTCTCATCCTGATCTTTCAGTGGAGAATAGCAATACCTACGCTAGGATTATTGGGAAAATGACAGGCACCATAGACAGTAGCCGTTATTGTTAATGTTTCTTTGATACAATGGCATTATATCCAATCTGCTTTATGAAAAGAGACTTGTATTTTTTCTTTTGTTGCGTATGTAGGAAATTTCAAGATTGTTGCGAAGGTGAAAGAAATTACTATGCTGTTTTACCAACTGGATAATTGTTATTCCCTTTTCAAACTACTTACTGTAGTTGATGTAGCTTCCAGTTCTATAAATTACTATCTGATTTGGCTGTTTGCTCACTTGCTGTGCTTCCATAGCAAACAAGATCCTTGAAGTAGATGTTGTAAACAATGAAAACCAGAGTAAGGTCTTTGTGGGGTTCAGGTTGCTGAGTTGAAAAGAAACTTCTGCCATCTATTAAATCCATCTGCTCTGCAAGATTAAGCCCAAATGGAATAGATCTTTGTATTCTGACACAGCATTGTGATATGTCACTTCAGAGGTATAGAAAGCTTCCTGAACCCTTTGATTCCTTGAGTTTCCTTTTCCTAAAGTAAGAAAGAGTATGTATAGCTACTTAGCTGTATTTAGTTTGAAGTCATATTGTCCAAGTCCTACCAGTATTATTAAAAAGTGATTTGTAAAATTATATTCATTCAAATTGTTGAAACAGCAAGATATTTAACTTCTAACTTACTGTAAAGCAGGAAGGAATTTGTTTTACTTGTTACCTGAGAGAACCCAAGAGTCCAGTGATGCGAAGGCTTTGTCTGTTTTTTGTTGGCAAGATGGTTGGAGGAATTATTGTTACTTTTTATATAACCTTTGTTTTTTTATAGGTTATTGAATTGCAAGTTTGATAGGACTTTTTTAAAAGTCAAGTTTATTGACATATCATTTACATATATAAAATCCACTCTTTTTAGAGTGCAGTTTTATGAGTTTTGACAAATGGATCACTTGTGTAACTGCCACCAGCATGAAACTGACGAGGAGTGAGGTGTGGATAAGGTATGACCCAGGGTAGTTCTTTCCCATTTAAAATTAAAAATGAATTTAACCATTTCTTGGGTAAAAATAAAAAAAAAGATAGTTAAGCTTAGCTCATCTTTCTTGAAGTTAATCTCTTTCCTTTACAAAATTTTTGAAGTTCATAAGGCAAACATACTCAATTTCTGTTAAATAACTGGCTTACATCAAAATGAGGTTTAATTTTTCTAAAGGGTGGCATGGTAGATTTCATTTAAATAAATACATAACATAATATAATTTAAATTGCATATAAATAATATCTATAAATTCATAATAGGGTATAAATTTACAACCTCCTATTGTGACCTGAACATTTTTTGACAGGGTTGAATAGTAAAGCTACTAAAATCATAAACAAAGCAATATGACTAACAATAGCCCAAGACACAATTTTCAACATTTTAAAAAACATTTTCTTACTGAAACATGATCAAGCTCAAATATAGGCTTTGCAGTTCTAAATTTATTATATAAATGTGTGTTGGTTTCTTGATCTCTTATATAGGCTTAAATATGCATACACATGTTTATTTTTGAAACTAAAATAAAGAGTGAAATTTACCCCTTTAATGTGAAATCTGTGCTTGGTTTTAACTGCACGAATACTCTGTTCCAAATTGAACTGAAGAGATAAGCAAACATGAATTTCCTTTTCAGCTGAAATAAGGTGTATTTTCTTGCCCACTCATGTAAGAAATTGCAAATTGCAGCAAAAGTTTATTGCTTTCTTATAAATGTCAGGGCATTCAGACTTCCACCTCATGTCTAGAGACACAGCAGTGAGTGTCATCTTAAGTGTACGTTAGACCCTGGCCTGCAAAGTTCTTCCTCTTCTCTCAAAGTGTTAAGTTCTCAGGCTGGACCGAAGAATCAGGAGTCCCTTGCCCAGGCATGTATTTGTATTCTGAGGATAGGAACATGCTGTTTGGTTTTGTTCTCTAGTTCTCTAGGGCAGTTTTCAGTAAGATTTGAGACTTATTTTTTAGTTTAAGCTTTCCTTTTACAGCTTAATTCTTTTCTTTTAAATCCAAGAATCCTGTCACTCGAAGGCAAAAAAGGTTTTCTCCAGAGCTTTGCAGAGACTGGTTCATGTGAAATGTCTGCTAAGTAGGCTAAGTTCTGCAGCCCTTCATGTTCAGAGCACCCAGCAACATCTGGATTACTCTTTTTTCCAAGTACTCTGACAGTTCACCTCTCATTTCAGATACCTGCTGCAAACTCTTCCTGCTTGCTATAGGAAATGATGGATGGCCCTTTTTAAACTAGCATTTCTATAAGAAGCACATGCCCACTGACCCATTCCAGATCTGTGGGTGTGTTTTTATTAAGTTACTGTTTTCCAAACAGTGACACTCTTAAGTCTACCATGGGTCAAATCACATATTTGTGATACACTGAAATGAAATTCGGTAAATGTCTATTAGTGTTGATAAAGAAAATTAAGTAAGAGTCAATGTACTCGTATTTCCTTTATGTGTACAAACAACTTTGTATAATTTTAATTTCACAGACCTAGGTACAATATTACTTAAATGATAATGGCTGCTAAGATTTTTTCAAACTTATAAAGTAATTAAAAAATGAACAAACTTGCAATTTTTAATTCTTTGTCTTGGAAGTTTAGAGGAACCCATGTTCCTCAGCTGCTAACCAATTATTAGCTAAAGACACTGTGTATTTATTTTAATATTTTACCTCAATTTCTCCCTCTAAATTGAATTCAGTATTTCAAACAAATAAATGGTCTCCGTAACTTTTTATCTATGTGCAATGTAAATTGCAAAGATTCTCTATTGCTAGAATTTGAAGACTCATTTAATACTTTATCTACCATTTGCCAAATACTTTGGCGATTCTGAGCAATGTCATTATCTTAAATTGTGTTTAAAATTATCCCAGAAGAACTGTTTTTCTTGAGAGAAAAAGATGCTGCTTAAATACAAAGCATTATCATGTATATCCTTTTATTACACTTTAACAGCATGAAGAAATGTGCACTTAGAAAAAATTGGCTGACAGAGTATGAGTTTATGATAAATTAAAACAGTGAAAACTAACAGCACATATATACTACCACATATACATGATACTGCTTAGTTCACATTTTAGACACCCAGTTGAACCCTGTTCTAAGTGTGGATAAAAAAATATATACTGTTTGTTTATAATATTTAATTTCTGAAGCACCAGGGCAAAATAAGAACCAGTTCACCTGTCATTGTAGTACCAGTGCCTGTGGCAAACACCTGTGCAATTGCATAACATGCCAAGCAAATAAACCAGAAAACTCAAATCAGTGTTTCCAAAAGCTGTGCCCTCAGTGAGTTTCTGAGACAGCATTGCCTCCTTAGGTTCTGGTCTAGCAGATATGCCACTGTTTTCAAACTAAGACCATCATGCTATTTCCCATTTTGGACCAGAAGGGGAAAAAAACTCTTTATTGTGATGTATGATATAAGCAATGGCAATTTTTAAAAAGCGAAACTAATATGATGAAAAAAGGGTGGCTGTCTTCCCTTTGATATGTTAGGACAGAGTCTTAAAGGATTTTCCTGACTTTCATTTCCATACAACTTGGGTTTTCTGCTGTGGCCTTAAC